TTGATTTAAAAAAAAAAAAAAAAAAAGTGAAAATTCCTCATCTTGACATGATATGCACATTAGTTTCAGTTGAACTGAACTTTTGCAGAAAATAAAGAATAAGGTGACTATTATATGTTAGAGTATTTTATGGAGTTTGGAGTAATGCATTTTGTATTCAGTTTAAAGGAATCTATTACAACCTTTAGTTGAAGTGGTAAACAGAATCTCAAATGTTTTTTCTGGCATAAGGGTAGTTGTAGCAAGTGCTAGCTCTGAATACTTTCTCTGATGCTCTGATCAATATGAGAGTTTCCATGTTTTTTAATGTTCTTTCATCGCATATAACCAGATTCATTTTTGCTTATGAGAACAACAATAACAACCCAGTATAATCTCACTAGTGGGGTCTGGGGAGGGTAGTGTATACGCAAACCTTACCCCTACCCGGGGGTAGAGAGGCTGTTTCCGATAGACCCTCGGCTCCCTCCCTCCAAGAACTCCCCACCTTGCTCTTGGGGTGACTCGAACTCACAACCTCTTAGTTGGAAGTGGAGGGTGCTCACCGCCAGAGCAATCCACTCTTGTNAGTCCACCGACAGCCGACGGGTTCGGGACTGGGACCTCGTGCCCAGCCCTCAGAGCTAATCCTTTTCCTGAAGTTTGGAATTTGTACATGTTAATCCTACTAGCATAGATATCGAGTAATTCTGTCCACAAAGACTTTGACAGATGATTTTTTTTAAGTAGTGATCTTAATTTTTCAAAGGACCATCCTCGGCTTCATCAAGGGAAAGGATGAACAGAGAGGACAGAAAATGGGAAGCTTTTCTCCTATCAATGTAAAACAAAACACACTATCATCTAATTCATCTTGGAAAATCTTGGTTTGTGAAGGTTAACAACTTGGTCTGGTTGAGTTTTTGCTACAAACATGTAGTAGTAATAACTTTAATGTCATGTCTCTTTGAAGCAGGGGCGGAGGCAGGATCGAGGACCAGTGGATTCAAAAAAATGCTAAAATGACACATCTGGAAGTTTTCCTTGTTTTAATAAGATTCAACATTCAATATATATACGTAAGAAAAGATTTCACCTATGCATAGGGTAACTTTCAACAAAAGGAATTCAATTGAGCGCCATCGGGCCAATGTGACTCCGCCACTGCTTTGAAGGACCCAAGCTCTTTTCTAATAAGCATGTCACAAGAAAGTACTTAATTTATCCTTGGTGTTGCCAAAAAGCCATGACTGTTGTTTCTCGCTTTTTTCATACAGTTTAGAATAGAACCCCATTTGCTCTTTTCTATCCAATTTATTTTCTTCCTCTTCTTATCCTCTGTTGTTTCCTTTGTGTTATTTGCATGATATATTCTCCACTTAAAAGCAGAGAATATGTGCTCTTGTTCTTTCTTGTACTTCCATTTCCTTTTTGAGGTTAACTTAATTTTACTTTGAAGGACAAGAAACTTAAACAAAAAAAGAAGATAAGAACAATTAAAATCATCTCTCGAGTAGTTGGGGGTGGGGTGGGCTGACTAGTCAATGATTGGCTTAAAATTGATAGAAATGACCACAGAATGCTATTCTCAATGGGGAAAAGGGATTATGCTGTGAGGGGATAATTAAAGCTGGATTCTAGGGAGTGGAATTTCAGAATCTTAACTCAAACCTAAAGCCATGGGTCATAGAATTTCTTGGTCTATGTTTCCCATTCGAATGAAATGAACCTGGATAAAATTGATCTCCATGTAGTAGATTTCAACTAATTTAGAAATAGAAACAGTTGAAGGGAGCATTGGAGCAACGACAAAGTTATCTCCGCACGGATTCGAGTCGTGGAAGTAGTCATTAATGCTTGCATTAGGATAGATTGTCTACATTATATCGGAACCCTGCGTGAACGCAATATACTTTGTGCACCAGGCTACCCGTTTTTTAGGAACAATTGATTGCTTGTTAGTATTTTAGATGCTTCTAAACAATCAACAACATGCATATAATCTATGATTTTATCCTCCAATTTGTCAAATATTTTTAATGCTTTTAGATATTAATCTTTGTTTTACTTATGCTAGAATCTTGTTTCTTGCACTAACTATTCTCTTCCCCTCATGCCTAATATTTTGACTATTAATTCGAAGAAAGTCGATTTCAAAAGATAAAGAAAAAGAATTTTTTTAATCAACTTGTCAAAAAGGTTAGTTTTTTTTTTTTTTTTTGTTAGCGATCTTAATGACTGGCCACAGGTATTATGGTTTTATTTTGAGAATGGAACTCAGAGATTTTCTAGCCATTGCTAACGTATTCGATCCTACAAAATATTGCAGGCTGAAGTAACTAACTTTACTGTACAAGAAATCCTCTATTCCACATTTCTATGGTTAGCTTTACTTTTGCTTCCACGAGTGCACCACTTTGGATACCTACTCGTATTCTATAAGTCTACTTCTGTTCTAGTGTACATAACTTTTATTTTCGTCAAATTCATATAACTATGTTTTCTAATAAGAAAAATCACAAGACTTTCACTGTCTCGCACAAAAATCACAGTCGCCGAAAAACACAACTTTTCGGTACAATATTTTTTAGTCCATATTTTTTATTTTTTATTTTCAATCTAATAAATATTGACCAAAAGAGCCTGAATTGCTTTTTAATCCTCTCTGTATGATAACAACTTTGCATACTGTGTTCCCGCATCTCCTTAAACGAATTTCAAGCTTGCTAGGAGGTATTTTAGTTTATAGTTTTACATTTAGGCATTTAGGTTAAAGAAGATGCTCGTCCCTCTATCTTATTTTTAATGAAGTTATATTGTTGGTTGCTTCACCTTTATTTATCTAAATTTTCATTTATAATTAACCTTGTATTATTTTTTAAAAATTAAGTATGTGAGTCGCAAATTATATTCTACCTCAAGCCCAAATAAAAGTGAGGAATTGCGCTAACATCCTGCGTAAAACTAATACTTAATAATTTTACATGATTTTTGTAATTCTACATATTTGAAATTGGAAAATGAGCTCTTAAAAATGATGCAGCACTCAGGGATATCATCCGGTACTCGTTGCTACACAATTTGGACGTTCAGAGGCGGATGTAGTCAACAACTAACGGGTTCAACTGAACACATAACTTTTGACGTGGTGTAAAAAAATTATATGTAAAAATTTATTAAAATTACAAAAATAGTGGATATGAACCCATAACTTTAAAAATATAATGGATTAAATCCTAAAAGTTTTAAAATTGAACCCATAGGATAACGTTAAATTGTTGCAACCCATTGAAACTTTTAACGTTGGTCCTTGTCATTTCAACTAAAATATCATTCAAAAGGAAGCAACTTTTGCACATGGGAAGTTTCAACTTCTGCCTCTAAAATTGATCAAATTATGCTATGGAATAAATGCTTTATAAGGCTATAACCTTAGGTTTCCCTGCGATTTTAGATCACATGACTATGATCTTCACCCTAAATTAAATTAATCAAAAATAATTCAAGAATCGTTTATTTGAAATCCCATAATTAAAGGCAACAGAAATTAATAGATGGATATTCTTATTTGCAGAGACGTATTATTTTTTCATAGCATAGTTATCTAACACTTTAACAGCATCATGCTTTCAGATGGAATAGTATATATGAGTCTAAAGTAAGCATTCTGTTAAATCTGCAATTCGAGTACGTGAAGTATTTGTAGAACTAGAGCTACCTCACATATATACTTCGCAGGTAAGTGTTGTTATGAAAGGTATTAGGAACAAAAAACTACTTATTGTATAACGTCAGACTGATTACAGTATATGTTTTGCGTGAACTTTTTCTTAGATTTTAATAATATATATATATATATTTTTAATGTAGTTAGCTATAGCTACAAGTTGAACTACTTTCATAACTATGGTGAAATTTTAGATTATTTGGCTCTTAGATACCATGCTCCTGAAAAGAAAAGAACAAAATGCGGACAACAGTT